GGGTTTTGGGTTTTGGGTTCTAGGGTTTTGGGTTTCTGGTTTTGGGTTCAGGGTTCTAGGGTTTGGGGTTTAGGGTTTTGGGTTTTGGATCTCAAGGATTATGGGGCTTCAGGGCTTGGCCGTGAGGGTTTGAGGGTTTTGGGGTTCAGGATTTAGGGTAATCAGTTCTAATTTTGAGGTCCTCAAAATATTGCCGCACCTTTCTGAAAAGGAACCCCCAGACGGAGCCGAATTTAGAGAACTACGCATTTAGTGTGTAGTGTGTCAGGTTTCAAAGCTTTGAGCTTGAGGAGCCTGATCCAGAAAATCCGGGCTTTGGGGTTTGGGTCTTGGGGGGTAGGGGTCGGGGTTTAGGGTTTGGGGTTTAGGGTTTGGGGTTTAGGGTTTAGGGTGGGGTTTGGGAGAGAGAGCCCCGTTTCGGCTTTTGTGTTTACTCCGTGATGGTCTGGCAACTTTATGACCACGTTGTACTGAAACCGTACACTCCAAACTTAAAACTCACTTGAGCCCGAAGTGAACATAGCCCAATCGACCCGGAACCCTTGAACTCAAGGAACTCGGATACCTACTGGTAGTACTCGTAGTCGTCGTCGTCGTTGTTGTGGTTGTTGTAATATTCATAACAGTAAAAATTCTCATAGTAACCATAATCAATCATATTCATAACCATATTTTGGGGCTTGAGGGATTAGGCTTTGATTTTCGATAGATTGAGGCTCAGGATTCAAATGAAACTTCCTGGACAGTCCAGCCAGTAATCTCACCAGGTGCGGGGTGCAGGGTATAAGCTGTCCGCCAAGGTCTGAATAAGAAATATATTAAGTAGCTACTTGGGTAGTTCTCTAAATTAGGGTCCCTTTTAGGGTCCGTGCCGTTCTATACTGGGGGCCCAACAGGGCCCTAAATTAGAGAGCTACCCGTTTAGTGTTCCGGGTTTAGACCTTCGTATGTAACTCCTACACGGATGTCCTTGCCCTGAACCCAAAACCGGCGGTGTGTCCCAAGCAGCTGTCTGGGAGAGGGTCTGATTCGGAATCAGGGCCCCGCGGGAAAAGTGACTCCACTAGATCGCTGGGTTCAGGTCGTACGAACCGCAACTGAAAGCTGACAGATGGAGTGTGGTTGATGCAAACGGCAGGAATAATTTAAATAGTGAGTGCTGAATATTCGACCCCCAAGAACGGACCCATCAAGCCCGATATGCATTGCCTGATTGCGCAACCTTACCAGCAGCCCACTCACTCACAGACCCGCCTACATCGACAGTCTGAAAAAACCTAGCCCGAAGCACCAAGGCCTACAACATCTCCAGCCTTTTTCGAACTTCTCTCTTACCCTCATAGCCCAGAGCACCCCGATCCCCCAAGAAAACGCAAACGCGAACTCTAACACCGTGACAGATCCAGGCTAGTCGAGCCTGGCACTTACGAATGTGCTCCTCGAATGCCTGCATGCAGTCAATGGGTTTGCTTGGTCTTTATAGTCTTTTTGAGGGTTCTCTTTAACGATTTCCCTTCATACGTGTTTGCAAGTGACGGATCTTCCAAAAAAGACAGACTTTAGGGCATTGAGGAAAGGTTAATGTGTTTTTCCTCAGGGTTTGGGAGTTTAGTAGTTTAGGCTTCGGGGTGTGGATTTTGTAGTTGTGGGGTTCGGTGCTGAGGCCATACTAGCACCCTAAACGGAAAAAACACGGGCCCCAAGCCCTAAACCCTAACTCGAAACCCGAAGCCTAACCTCCAAGCCCGACACCTTGCAGCAGAGGCCCCAAAGATGGATCATCACTACCACCATGCCCATGAGGCCCATAAGGCATATGGGAGTTTCCGAAAATTAGGGTACCTTATTTTGGGGTCCTTATAATAAGGATCCTATTATTTAGGGTACTATATTAGGGTCCCCTATTGTCGGAAACCCCCATATAGGGTTTAGGGATCGCTGCTTAGACTTTTAATACTTAATGGGCGTAGGCAGGCAAGTTACCCTTGATTTTGAACCCGTATGTCAAGCTAAACCATACCTGTAACGCCAAACCACGGTTTGGGGGGGTGCCTTATTCTGTTTTCAGAGTATCCCCCGGTAGGTTTTGGAGGGCAAAGCCCGAAAAGCAATCCTAAACCCTAAACCTTGTCAAGTCCAGCCAACCCTGGTTTCAGGCCTTGGCCTTAACATGCCGCTCCCAAGAAGGCAACCCTCAAAAACCACTCGAGCTCGAGCCTTCAGTTGCCCTGAAGTATCACCCCCTCTAAAACACGTATCAGTTAACATGGAAGCCTAAATAAATACCTATACCAATATTGGGGCTATTATAGTACCATATACCCCAAAATCGCATTCTCAATGTGAAGGCCCCTACATTAGCTTTCATAGAATCCTCTACACGTTCTGCCCCAAAGACAGCCTAAATTAGAAGCCAGAAAGTTGGAACATCAATCTCTTCATGCCCTTAAGGTAAGGCATTGGGGATCCCAGCGCTCAACATCCTGAACCTATATTCCAACTTTCTTTCTTATACTTTAATACCCTGATTCCAAGGAGTGGGTGGAAAAGTTCATGGAGCCGGTTACCTACTCTTGCAAGCTGCCCGGCCTAACAAAAGGGTCGGAACAGTTTGCAAACTATATCCCTGTACTATAGGACCCTAAATGATTACTAATACTCTGCTGGGGTTCCGTATTATAGTGAAAGCATAATATACCCCCAAACCCTGTTCTAATTATTAAGGCTTCTACATTACAGTCAATATACAGTAAAATGTACCTAACAACCTATTAAAATTGGAAGGAAGGCTTCTAAATTGGGTTGTTGCGGTGAAAACCCAAACCAGCAACATGCAGTTCCGCTCAGCAGGCCGTAAAGTTTTATTAAGCAAGGCAACAACTAAGCCTTAGAGGGCTTGCAGTTCGTGGTTTAGGGTCTCGGGGATTATTAGGTCGGTTGCTTGTCGAACTTAGGACTGTTCTAGCTTATAGGGTCCAGGTGTATAGATGTGGGAGGCTTACGGTGTTGGGTGAAGGGCTTTGGGTTTGGAGTCTTAGGGTTTAGGGTTTAGGGTTTGGAGTCTTTTTACTGTATATACTTTGGGCGTAAAGTACACATAGAGGGATTAATTTTCGGCCAAAGTTTGTACTATGCGAGTAGGTGGACCTTAGGGAATTAAATGAGAGTTTCAGAAATGGTGATAGTGACAACCTACAGTTCAGTTTGGTTGTTGGGGGCTCCACCAACAGTGAGGTTTTGGCATCTCGGCTTCTGAATGCTCCTACAAAACCTTGGCATACGAGAAACACACAAACACACAACCACACACACACACACCCTAAACCCTAAACCCTAAAACCTAAAGCCTAAAACCTAAAACTTAAAATTCCTAAAACCTAAAACCTAAAACCTAAAACCTAAAACCTAAAACTCCTAAAACCTAAAACCTAAAACCTAAAACCTAAAACTCCTAAAACCTAAAACCTAAAACCTAAACAGAAGTCGAAGCCACAGCCAGGTTGACGATTTCCGCCGACTTCACATTCGTCCTGGAGCAGAGAGCCTCTTTCGATGAAGAGGCGTCTCGGAGCTGTGCTAAAGTAGGTTCCTGAGTAGTACCCTTTTGCCCTTTTTATTTTGGGGTCTCCTTATTAAAACCCAATAGTAGGAAAAAGGGTACCCTTATTAAGTAGTGGTCACTCAGGAACGTGCTAAAGTAAACTCCAACCGCTCGCTGCAAGGTACTTGTCGCAGTTTAGGACATAATGGGGAGGGTGTAGTTTGGATTTTGTTGAAGCTTCCTAAAACTTGGCGGTCAGGCTTTGTACTTGGACCCTACACGCAGGGTGGCTCCAGTCGGCAAAGGTATCGAACGCCAAGGACCAACCCTGAAACCCCGAGCAGCCTAAATAGGTCGTAACAGTCGTAGCACAAGTGGTGACCGTGCATCCTAGGATAATGATCATTATACGTATGAACTCGCCATACACCTGCTGTCGTCGTATAATGCGCAGTAGCCCGAAATCATATTCTCAATGTTCAGGCCACAATACTAGGTCAAAAACCTTAAACCCAAAACCCATTGCATTAGCTCTCCAACATGTCCCCCGGTGCCCATGAGGCCCAAGGCTTCAAAATCCCGCAGGTAAGTAGAATCTAATATAGGGGGCTTAGTAATTAGAGTAGGGTTGGGGGTATATCATCGGTTTGAATATGAACTCAGCAATTCAGGAAAGAGTTCATCTTGCATGGTGTTTAGGGTAGGGGTTTAGGGTTCAGCGGAGATCTCTTGGAAGCAGATCCTCCTGCACTCGAAGCCACAACTGCCAAGGTCCATATTTTCAACTCTGTTCCCAGCTCATTGAACAAGGAACCTTTAAAGAACCCCCAGAACCGGAATCAATCCCGTTTCCCGAGGTTCAGATTTTGAACCGATTTCTGAATGAAAGAGTTGAAAGAGGTAGGGTTCGGTTCAAGGGAAGTTGAATTGGTCACCGCATTTCCGAGGCCTAAACCCTAAACTCGTGCTTGGACGTCTGAATGACCAGTACTAACAACTTATCTAGTCCAGCATCGAATTTCGGTAAATGCATATACACAACAAACAGAGTTCTAGCCCCAACCCTATACAGTTCCGTTGAACATCCCCAAGGATAAGGTACAATGTAAAGGCCGCACAATACTATTTTGTTTTTGAGGGGGGGGGGCCCTAAACTAAACCCTTACTGTATTTCCCTTGTAGTAACCCTTGTAAAGGAACCCTTTTAAAGGAACCCTGTTCTACTTATTGAGTCGGCTCTGGTACGCTGTCGTCATCCATCAAGGCCGCTATCTCGGAGCCCGGCAAGGTTAAGTACGGGCCTCCTGATGAAAAGTTCGGGGTTTAGTTTAGGGCTTGGGGTTTAGGGTTTATAGGGTTTAGGGGCTTATGAGTTGTTACCCATGTTTCCTATGCCCTAAACCGTTGAGGTTTAGAGCATTTGGTTGTAAGGGCTCAGGATTAAAAGGACTTGAGGTTCTAAGTTTGGAGCTTTGGGTTTTGGGGGTTGAGGGTTTTGGATTTAGGGTTTGGGGTCAGTGTCAAGGGTTAGGGTCGTCGCAGCAGCAGTGGCACCAGCAGTAGTAGTAGCACTCCAGAAACGGGTTGCAGGAACTCAACTCTTTGATTCGCAGAACCCTTCACCGGGGTTTTGGCCAAGTACCCAAGAAACTTTGCGTTTGCAGTGAGATCTCGGATGGCCGAAATGGTGTTTTGGCGTGTGCAGTTTAGGGTGGTTTCGTTTAGTAGCCTAGTAGATAGGGCTCCATGCTATATCAACGTCAACGATATGCAGCTTCATCCCGGGGCGCTTGGTTTCGGACGACCCCCATGTCAGTGCGAGTGCTTCCTGGGTTCCTGCTCCACAGGCTCACGTCCCGTGTCCCATGAGTACCTTTTTCATCAGCATTGGAGTCTCGGCGCCCTATGTTAATGCCTGAGTTAGACCCTAAATCGTAAAGTTGAAGCCATGACCTATAGCCCTACGCAACAAAACCCCAAACCCCCAAACCCTAAGCCCTGAACCCCGCCCCCTCCCCACCCCTCCCACCAAGAAAAAAATAAGGGGACAACAATGGTCCTGTCAAGGAACAAGTTCGTATTCAACGCTGTGGATCCGGTGCATGCCATTCGATGTGACGAGGACGGGCTGCTTGGGCATTGTTGTGGGGAGTTTAGGGGTTTAGGGGTTAGGGGGCTGAAGGGTCTGCTACTACTACTACTACTACTACTACTACTACGACTACTACTACTACTACTACTACTAATAGGGGTTTCGAGTTTAAGGTTTAGGCGTTGGGGCACCTCGCCACAAGAGAGCTTCAAAAAACAGTAAATTCTACCTTCAGACGGCATGGCCAGGGTGTTTGAGGGTTTTCGGTCTAGGCTTTAGGGTTTAGGGTTTTCAGTGTTTCAAAAGTTTAAGAGTTTGGGGGTTAGGGTTTCAAGGTTTGGGGTTCAGGGTTGGAGCTTACGGTTTAGGGGGTAGGGGTTTAAGGGTTCAGGGTACGCCTCGGTACAACAGAAGCTTCACAGTATTTGTTTATATTTATATATTTATATTTATACGGATAGATCTTGTAGATAGATATATTTGATAGTCCCCAAAATACCAAATCACATCAGTGCATCGGTTGCCATCCCGAAGCACAGTACCTTATGATTATGCTCATAGACATCCAGGCCGTTCTGCTTATTGGCCTATATGCAAGCCTGACTAATCAAAAATGGTTCGGCTGCCTTGCAAGTTCCTAACATAGCCGTAGTATAGTATACAGTATACCCCAAAGCTCTATGTTACATATTGGGCTGCCGATACCCTTGAACTCTATAGTAGCCCTTGAAGGAACCCTGAAGCTGAAAGGAAACCACAAAAAATCTCTGTTCCAACTTTCAAGGCCCCATTAGCTGAAAGCCCGAAGCTTTCAGTTAGGGTTTAGGGTTTAGGGTTTAGGAGCACTGCATGATGGTTGGGTGTGTGGTTTCGAGGCTTATAGGGGATCGGGGTCTGGGAGTTTCGGGGGTTTAGGGTCTAGGAGTGATGGCGACTGGCTCGGGGTTTTAGGGCTGAGGGATGTGAGGTTTAGTAATTTAGGGAGTCTAATGCTGCATGAACGGCAGGAAGCTATGCCACTGCATTCTAGCATCACCTTCACGCGGCATGCCCACTATTTATTAAGGGGAAATCATAAGATGAAGCCCCTTATAGTCTAAGGTATATTCCTTAATTAAGGAGTATTGGGCTCTCGGGGTGAACGATATCCACAGTCGAGGGGTCGTCAGTCGTACCGCGGCCCCGTAGGCTGATAGAAACCGATTGGAGTAGGGTTTCTGTTTCGGTAGAAATTGCACTAACTAGAGTTAGGGTTTGAGCATATATATATATATATGTATATATATGGTGTCACCATATATATATATATCATAATAATAAGTCATTTACTTGTTTAGAAATTTAGGGAGCTGTCGAGCGACTATATGGTAGCAATATACCGGGACTACAACTGTAGGTGCACAGTTTCTCTTTCAGGAGGCGCGCCTGTATTTGAGCACTGGTTGCTGCCGCACTGCCGACGACGAGCTGCTGTTCGTGCGCACCGTGTCTAAGTTTTGGTCAACCAAAAAATCTTATTTTGCATAGCGTAACCGTTTGAAAAAACACTTTTGCTGTTGCCAGGATATGGTTATCATAAACCCAGTTCCTGTGAAGGTACCCAGCAGAAGCAACTCGTGCTATATGTAGAACGCGTCTCAACGTTGGGACAGCTTGAAAAAATTGTTCCATACAAGGTACTACTACTTTTCCCGGGCATCCGACCTCGAATAGAACGTGTGACGCATCGAACTGCAAAACTCTACGCGTTTTGGCCTTAGAATACATCTGGTATCCTGGACCCTGCCTTCCGACTCAACGTTCAGCTACATGAACGGTATGAGCACGAGGAAAAGTCGAGCCACAGACGAATGCGGAAGAAGAAGCAGAGGCTTGCGAGGCCGCAGAGGACCCTGTTTTCAAAGTTTCATTGTTGTTGCGCGTATGGTTAAGGTTTAGGGTTTAGGGTTTAGGGTTTAGGGGGACAGATTTATTGCGATTGTTTCGAAGTAACTTTGCCTACGCAGGCCCGAAAGGCATGTCCACTTTGTTGGTTTCCGCAGTTCCTCATGAGAGAGTGCGAACCATGACATAGGTTGTGCAGAAAAACATGCTATGAATTCAGAATCTCGGCACAAGCTCAACTTTCTCTCGGAGTGGCTCTTCCAAACCATCGAATTTGCAGAGCCCATTACAATCAGCAAGCACGATGGATGAACGAAGGACTGAACGAACTCATGACTTCAGGCGTGGGACGGTGAATGAACGAACTAGATATGAAACAAAACCCAGTGAAGCGGTATGGCGTGACATGAAGGCAGCTGAAATGAAATGTCCTGAGATGTGACGGGTTGAGATGAGCTGGAGTGATCAAATGGATCAGTGACGTGACCAACTGAACGGCTGAACACTGTATGCATGTCCTTCGAAGAGCCCTGCATTGCAATCCTACGTCCCAACTCCCAACCCCGAACCTAAACCCCAAAGCCCCAAACCCGAAACCCAACTCACGTGAACTTTATCAGGCCTGGTACTTTCAACACTACAAGCCCCAATCACGTTTGGAGCTTCGGTACCTCCAGACCCTCTTCTGTCTTGTAGATATGAATCCCTCATCCGGGGATCCTTTCCAAAAAACCCTATTCGAATTATTCAAGCCCCTACATTCACGATGAAGGGTTCTCAACCAGAAACCGGCAGACTCGAGCCGGAAGTACTCTACATTCTGAGCTAGCGTTGGAGCGTCAGCTCCAAAACCCGAAACCCTAAAACCCTAAACCCGAAACTCTAAACCCGAAACCCTAAACCCCAAAACCCGAAACCCTGAACTCTAAACCCTAAACCCGACACCGTGGCTCCAGGTAAGAAGCCCCTGACATCTGAAGCCTGAGCCGCAGCACCAAGCCTCATTGAACACTCAAAGGGAAACCGGTAACCAGTGTGAGGCTAATCAGTTCATTGATTAGGTAGTTAATGGAAGGGTATGTATATACCCCCTAAACCCTAAACCCTGAACCGTATCTATATATATATATATATATACACAAGGGATCAAGGTTCGAAGCAGAAGAGGGAGTCGCGCTTTAAAATCTATGTAGAATTTAATTAGGGTTTAGGGCTTAGGGAACATAGCCCGAAGTCCTCTTCCCCTTATTCAGCGCCCAAAAGTCACACAGCAAGCCTTGAAACCAAAGCCCAAGGCATCCAAACCCTACGGCCCAAACGAGCCGAAGCCGGAACATCAGCCCAACCCCTGCAAGGAGTAAGGTGTAGTGTGAGGAATTGGGGTTCAGGTTTTAGGTTTAGGGTTTAGGGTTTGGGGTTTTGGGGTTTTAGGGTCTATGTGTTGGGATTAAGTTTACGGGTTTGGGGCCCAAGCCTCGAGCTAGACGCTGTAAATTCTGTGTAAGTGTTGAACCCTAGGCCGCGCACCCTGAGTACAACATGCCTCAAACGCTACTACCCTTCAGCTCTTCACATAGCCCTTATGGAACAGGGCTCTCGTTGTGAATTCATGTTGTCCTGATGTTTTGTCAGAGTTGAAAGCAGAAAGCTTTAAACCGCCGGCGGTCTATTGTGATCTGCTTTTTGCGGGGACCTCGCCAGGAGAAGGCTGATGCTGGGGATGATGTGCCGAACTGGGAGAGCTACCTCGACTCCTAAGATGCTCCAGGACTAGCTGAGAAGGGCTTGGGCTGGGGTGGCTTGTTTTCGGATTTTCGGACTTAGACATTTAGTAACTTTTTAGAGATTTAGTACTATGAACTGTTACTTTTGGGCTGAAGGCTTGAAAACCGCAAGAAGTCCCGACCCCCTATATTGCAGCATCTAAAGGCCTTAGGGCTTTTAGGGTTTCAGATGCGATTTTCAAGTAGCTTGGGTTCTGTGCATCAGCTTTTTGTTGTTTTGCAGGTGGAGGCTTCATGTTTTTGGGTTAGGGTTTAGGGTGGGGATGCAGGCTTTACAGTCTTTCAGGGGTTGCTGGGCCCTAACGGTTTAGGGCTTAGGGTTTAGGGACTGTCGTCGAGGTTACTTGAGGCTTCTCTCATGACGAGTCGGGGGTCGGTTGCAGCTGTGACGACAAGAGGCCTGTTCTACGCTGTTGAGCAGGGCTTGTTTAGGGAATACTAACTAAACCCGAAATAACTTGAACTACAGCCGAACCCCCCGATGCTTAAGATGATACCACCAAAGCCGCAAACTCCGAGCAATAAGAGGCGTGGAAGCCTTGTTCAGGCTGTGTTGGTTAGGTTAGCAGGCTAAGGGATTTTGGCTTTTGTGATTGACGAGTTTAGGGTTTCCAGCCCCTTGTGGCAGGAGAAACATGACTGGCACAACAAGAAGACAACACTGCCCTGAGCCTTGGCGCGACGTGGTACCGGATCGACACGGTCACTGTCTCTCCTCCGAGCGGCCATCCACACAGCCGATCAGACCGAGCTTCGACCAGAGCCCACGAAGTCGTCACGTGCTGACATTTCGCCACTTCCGCAAGTACCAACGAGCCCAAATATGCCAATACCCGTCGAGTTGGTTTAGGGTTTTTAGGGTGTAGGGCTTCCTCTGTTCTGGAGTAGTCGGCATTGGAGGCTCTCGCTACTTGCGGAATGTGACCCTCACCGCGAAGCTGTCAACCCAAGAATGCCTTCAGGGCGATTGGGTTGAAGGCCACCTGCGGCATTACGAGAATGCCTTCAACTATTTTGGACGGCAATGAGCAGGCATCAGTGTAGAGGATATATCGACGAGATGTAAGGAATTGGCAACTGTTGTGGTTTACGTCTCCCATTTCTGGTTGTGCCATTCGGAATTTGTATCCTGTTCGTCGGTTCTGTGTGGTGTTTGGCTCCGAGTGCGTCGCGGGTCAAAGGCCTCGCATGGCGTCACCAGCGTCACCTGCAAATTGCCGTCTGAAGCAAGGTCGAACTTGACGCAACGCTGACGCGCAAAAGGCTGCAAAATTATGATGTCCTGCGAGAGGACAAGGCAGCATCAACAGCGAACAGAGCCCAAACCCTAAACCCCCAAATCCTAAACCCTACATCTCAATCCTCTGCGCAGAAGATGAATCAGATGAAACCCCATTCTGACCTGGGTTCTGAAAGAAGAAGAGCCGAAGCTAGTTCAATTACAATATGTTTATAGATATACGGTTAGGGGGTTTGGGTCTAGGCTTCAGGGTAAAATATGTATGTATGTATGTATGTATGTATGTATGTATGTATGTAGCTCCTTGTACATATACACGTACATACTGGTAGTATACACATAACATACGTATCTACCTAAACCTACCTCGATTTTCACTGCCCGGAACGTGAGCGACATTCTTTGCTTCGCTCAGTCCGGCTGGAAAGATGCCATGAAGAAGGTCTGCTGCAGTGTTATGGGGAGTTTGGGTTCAGGGTTTGGGGGATAAGATCTATAGATTTAGAGTTCAGGGGTTAGGGATTTTTCAGTTTTCAGTTCAGCGGCTTAAGATTTATCGTCCTACGATTTAGAGCTTAGGGGTTTGGGGTTTAGGGTGTCGGGCTTGGCCCGGGGCGTGTGTTTGGGGCTGTGGGCTGGTGCTTAACAGGGCATACGAGTTTCGGATTTAAGGCTGGGTTTAGGATTTAGGATTTAGGGGTTTAGGGTTTTAGGGTTCAGGGCTAGTCAGAATGGTTCAAGCAGTGAGAGGTTGTGGCGCTCGTGTGCTGCCGGCAGGGAGTTTCGGAATCAGGGCAGTTAGCGTCCTTTTTCGTTTCCCTCGGGATGAACCTGAAAACCAGCGCGGCTTCTTACAGCTTCTTACAGCCTGAAATGTAATGTATGTTTTTTTGTTTTGTGGGGTTGCCTTGGTTCTCATTCTGCGAAGAACCCGAACCATGACTATAGGGCAGCCAGGGGGTTGTATTACAAGAACCGATCCCATCATCACCCCGAGGTCTGCAAAGCTCAGAACCTGTGATTTAGGGTTTGTTGGGGTGGCTTAGGGTTTGGAGCTTAAGGTTTAGGGTTTGGGGCAGGGTGGGGGTCGGTCAATTCAAACCGGGATTCGGATCTAGGGTGTGTTGAATGTCGGGAGTTGTGAAGCCTTTGTGTTCTGGTGTCCAATATAGGCGCCTTCATAATTAGACTAGGGTTTTGGGTATCCTTTGTAGTAAAGCTATAAGAAGGAACCCTAAGGAATAATATTGGTAATTGTTTAGGCTTCTACAGTATGTCTTTTGGGTCGAGGGTTTTAGGGTTTCCGGATTGGGGTTTACATATTTCCGGTGGTTGAGTTGAGGGTTTCTCTTTTTTGTCCGTAGGATCTCTTTGAGGGATATATTCTTTTGGTACATACTGAGAATCCTTCTAGGTTCAGGAACCAGTGGATTTTCAGACCAATGTTCCAATCCAGGATTGCAGGTGCCGATTTCAACAGGAGTCTGCTGCGAGAGGAAGCTCTAATTAGGAGAAATCCCTCAGCAGGACAAGCCTCTTGATTCCAGGCTCTTGGCGAAGTTCCACGTTTCGACGGCTTCTGACAAGCAAAATGCCTGAATGCGTGGGGTTGCACCTTTGCAGTTCTGGCTATTTCGGGGCTCAGAGCTACCTAGACGCTGAACTGCTGAGTAATTCAGAAAATACAGTTGCTTAAGGAAGGGTGCATGTACTCATCTACTATATACTTTGAGGCCATTTGTACTCAGTCTTATATACTTTGGCCTTCAAGTAGTCCCCGTATGGGTACTTTAGGGCCAAAACAAGTACCCGCGGAGAAAGGAACTACATACGCGAAACCCCAAACCCCCAAACCCCGAAAAGAGCATCATTGAAACCATAGAAGCCCTAAGCCGTAAACCTAAAGGAACTGCACAAAGGACTACGTCCGGTATGCGTTGACCCTGCAACGTCAGCAGGCGTAGGCGTGGGTTTTCAAACCCTGTGTCGAAGTCTTGAACAATCAGGAGAGGGTTTAGGGTTCGAGGTTTGAGAGCATATCTCATCAGAGCCATACACAGACCACAACAGGGACATTATGACGCATGATTCAAACTCACACCCGACTGTGTGGAAGGGGCATACCGGCTTCCGGTTTCGGGTTCGAGGCTCGGAAGGATTCCACTTATGGATCTTGGCTGCAGTCGAGTAGCTGAGGGTTCAGGGTTCAGGGTCAAAATGAGTCGGACGCTTTAAGCAGACCCCCGTTGTTAAGCTTTTTTGTTGCTTGCTTTCATTCTTTCACTGCTAAGGCTTAACTGCACGGCTTCCTTGGCAGTGTTGGTGGCTTCCTGCAGTTTTTTGTTTTTTTTCGCGATGCTTTTCGCAAAAAAAAAAAAACGAAACATCTACGACTCTGGATTTTGGGGTTCAAGAGGCGGAACGTCGCTCGAGTTCTGATAATCCGACGCTTCCCCCGTGATCAACTCCCAGAAATCCGTTTCAAATGGGTTCCTTCCCATGTGCTCGTAGCGGTCTTCGAACGAAACGTAGGAGGTTAGGGCCTAGAAGCCTCGGCAAAAGTATGGAACGAGAGAAAGGGTGGAAGAGGCTGTTCGATCAGCCTCCATACCTACCTGTCTCGAGCTTTAAGAGCCGGTGACACGGTTGATTATATATATATATATATACATATATAGATATACAGTATACATATATATATATATATATATATATATATATTTATATATGTATTTATTTATTTATTTATTTATTTATTTATTTATATTTATTTGTTTATATATCCTGCACTAGCCAGAACAAGGTATATACCAGAATTCCCATAGTTTAGGGTCCTTAACGCAGTGCAGGGTTTTATATCATCAGCAGAATGAAACAGACAGACACATCACATCCTTGAAGTTTGTATGTTCCAAGCCTGGGAATTGAGGGTACCGAGTACCACGAATCCCTGGCCCTCAGCAGTAGCACTCCACGCTGGCTGGGCTTCCACAAGTGTTGTAGCTATCGTTCCTGGTGACCTCACCGGGTTCTTTGTGGCTTTGGGCTCTCAGGGCGTTTTATGAAAAACGATAGCCGCCTCAACCCTGGACCCCGAGCCCATTTACACGTTAACCCAGAACCCTGGCGCCTTACTGAGCGATTTAAGGTCCAGCCGGCAGGACAAAAGTGGTAGGAATCGACGGTCTGTCTTTCTAAGGTTTCCGTCAAGTGGCGTGTCAGTGAAGGTTTGGGATTTCGATAGCCAGGAATCATAGGAAGGTCGCGACTTTAGGGTATAGGCAGGGTGCTGGGTTTAAGTAGGGATGTAGTCTATAAGACATATATATATATATATAGAGAGAGAGAGAGAAGCCGAAGTCATCAGATCCTTAAGCCCACCTCCCTCTTCAGCGTATCTCCCACGAAACCCTCGCCTTCGTTATGCAACATGGCACATGTGCGGCGGTGGTATCTGCTGGCGCTGCTAGCGCTTTGGGATTTCGCTGGCCTCTGTCGTGATGGAGTGAGCCACGTGGCAGAGTTGTGTCCTGATAGTACAAACCCCCACACAATACCCTCAATCTTGAGCTCTAAAGTTTGCAGGCTTAGACTTTAAACCCTAAACCCTAAGCCGTTCTTTAGGGTTTGGCAGTTTCAGGGCTGCAGGGCTTAAATCTTCAACGCCCACACCGCAAGGCCCTGAAACCCTGAGCCCGAGGTCGTGATGGCTCCTAAATTAGCCCACTGTTTGC